CTTTCTATTACCTCACCACTGAGAAACCACCAGCCTTGGGCCAGACTGGGGCTTACTCCTATCCTAACACCTCCTTTAATTGTATTTTTCGTTTTAACTTTCTGAAATAATCTGTGCTTTAAAGCATTTTATGTTATACTGAGATGTCATCCTCACATCACGAACCTCCCCCTGCTGAAGAACTCAATCTAAATGAGCAAGCCACGTAGGCAGAACCAGTGTCCCCAAATCACTTCAAAAGGGACCATGGGCCCCGTCAGAAACTTCACTTCAGTATGGAAAAGATCAAGATTGACCCAGGACAGGTCATGGAATCCTGACATAATATCATTCTTAAGAATCACAGTTAAATTTATGGGGATAATGACACAAATATTGTGTTTATACATACACACATTACAGTTGCTTGGTGTGTATATATTTTAGAGTAAAACTTGTTTCCTCATCTTAATTTGCATGTGTTTATGCTTGCCTAAATTAAAGCAATTCTCTCTTCATGTGTTATCTGATTTTGTTCTCTGCCAAGTTACTGTTTCTGAGAGTGGGAAATATTTTTGAAATATTATGATACAGGCAATTATCAATGCAAAGCATTTTATGTATATAACAAGATTTCAAGAAAATATTTTTTAATATTTTTTAATTCTTCACAGCTAAGCCTGGCAAAAGACTCTATATACGGGAAGTCATAAGAACACAGTAGTGCACAAACTCACCACCCCGCCCTCCTGAGATAAACTGTACCATACCACAAGAGGAGCACAAAGTTAGATCTTGTTTTCTCAACTACACCTGCAGAGGGAAACTGTCGGTAAATCTCAGTGGAGAAACACAATCAGGTGACACACCAAGAGAACACTGCTTAATTTAACAAACATAAATGTGATTGATTTTTTTATAAATTAACATCAGACAACCAATTTTATTCTAATGTAGATGATAATTACTCTATAACTAAGAAGTCAGTTTGTTTTGGTTGACAAAAATGGCTAGTTTGGCCAGATCTCTGGAGAAAGGGGGCCGGTAGGAAGATCAAGGAGGGAGACTGGACGAGGGAGAGGAAGACAGTGAACGGTCAGAGAAAAGCAAAAGGACAAAAAGAGAATTCCAGGAGCAAGGCGGAAATAGACCCAACTGGAGCATCGAGGACCCTGAGGGAGTTCTGATGGGGACACTAACACTCGGTCAGAGTGAGTGTGCAGCCACATAGTCCTGCCGTGGACTGCCCACCAGGCTGTACCAATCCTCACAACCTTTTAAAACACCAACGTGAAGCAGAAGTGGTGATGATGCACCTTTAATGCCAGCACTCAGCAGGCACAGGCAGGAGGAGCTCTGAGTTCAAGGCCAGTCTAGGACAGCCAGAGCTCACAAAACCAACAAAACAATAACCACAAACAACAAGGCTCACTAGGATGGATATATCTTACCCCACCCCAACCCCCGGGTACAGCTCTCTGGGGAACAACAACCAGAGACTCCCACAAAAGCAATCTGAACTTCACAGCCTCCAATCTAGTGGAAACTCTTGTCTGTGTCTCCTTTCTATGACAGGGGAGATCGTCCTTGCCCAGCCTGTTTCACACAATCCTACAATCCAACAACTGTTCATGGGAGGTCTACTGTGGACCAGGCCTAAGCGAGACAGCAAACAGAGGCATGTCTGCCCACCTCACAAAGCTGATGAGGATGGCTGAGAGCAGAGGGCACCAATCATCAGCAGTCCACTGGGGGTTTGTGAATAGATCTCTATCACTTCTTTCCCCACACACGTTTCAAGGGTACCTCAAGTTCCCACTAAGGAAAAGGGAAACAAAGTCAATCTAAAACCTGACAAGACAATATTGGAATGTTACAGTTAAAGCTTACACTGATTAAAAATAAAAGTGTAAGTGTTCAAGCTGAACACAGTGCTCATTATCTGTAACCACACAGGCTATATAACTCCTGGATAAACACACAGCCAGAGTATTTTCAGTTATACTTAAATAGGTTCATACACTCACCTCCCAGTGTATTAGCAGATCCTAAAGTACCTTTGGAATCATTAAGAACTAAATCATATTTGTTGACTTCTACTGTTAGGTACATTCCTTGTACTTCGAATACTACAATCTCATGGCAGGAATCAGAGCCTATCATGCATGGCTTGTCTAAGACAGAACCCTAAGAAAGGGGCTGGACAATCAAAGAGGTCTAGGAAATGCAACTCTAAACACCCTTTGGAAGATCACAAGGTATTTTAAAAAGTTGACTCTGACAAGTCCTGCATTTAAAAAAGAAGAAAACAACACTTGGCTGAAACCAGTTTCAGGGGCATGCACCTACAGTACACCAGAAGGTGGGAAGCTGAGGCAGCAGGACCCCAAGTTCCAGGCCACTGTGGGTGCCACCCCAACACACTATGGGAAGGGCAAGAGAGCAGGGACAGAAGAGAGGCCAGGAGGGAGGCAGGAACTCTGCTGAACTTACTGAGTTCCTCAAACTGATCGGATCCCAGAACACTTCATTTGTGTGATACTCGTTACCAGTCCACAGACTGCTGCATGGGATTACATATGAAATCTATCACAGTGTAAAGCATACACTGTTCAATCCGAAATGTATTTAATCAGTCCTTCAGCAACGCTGAGGAACTATTTAATGTATGCTACGGGAATATAAAACTTTCTCCACTGAACTTCTTGTTTAAATTCACTCACATATACCTGAATCTGCATTTTAAAGAATGAATACATGCACAAACACCCGTATGTGTGCAAGTTTGTGCCCATGTGCCTGCACGCCTGCATGCCTGCATGTGGAGGCCAGAGGGCCACCTCTATGGCTGATTTTTTGAGACAAGGTCTCTGGCTGAACTCGGAGCTGACCCATGGCTAGGCCGCCTGGACAGCAGCTCAGGGGGTCTGCCTGTCTCCAGCCCACTCCAGCCGCAGCACTAGGTTAAGGTGAATGCTCAGCTTCTGTGTGGTGCTGGGCACCTGAGCATGGCGGGTCTGCGTTCTCACCTGACTGCACTCTACTTCTAATCTATCTCCAAGCTCCCAGCTCCAGGAATATTTTTAATGAACTAGCACAGGCTCTTAAGACATTAATAAAGAAGTAAGTCACTTATAATTTGATCTTGCCAAAGCTTTTCCTCTCTAACGTGTATTTTTCAATTTCCAGAGTGCATTTTCATCTTAATTTTAAGAAAAACAATGCTGAACTAAAGAAAGGCTGTAATTACTACTGCTCTATTACCTGATATGCCTAAACTAACTATCTGTAACTGAGATGTGCAATCAGTATGGACAACCCAGGAGTAAAAGCATGGGAGGAGCTTTCATTTCTATTGGCTGTGCTACTGGAATCTGGAATCTGTCTCCTCCTCTGCACATGTTCATTTTAGGCCTATCTTAAATGTTTTATAGACACAAACTGCAGTGATCGAAGTATCAGTGAGTTAAGAATAAAAAAACAAACTCAACAGTTATTTAGCACCTATTGTACGCATGCCAGGAGGCTAACCGCTCTAAGGATGAACTCGCTTGTCTAGGCCATAACCCAGGCAAAGGGCTGTCAGCACACAATACTTGGAACAGGAACTCTGAAGTCCAGAACACAGAGGATGGCAGACAAGCAAATTGCTGTACAGGAGAGGGTCACAAGATGCCTAATAGACATTTTAAGACGACCAGGCCACCACAAAAAGGCCTGTATGAAGTAAGGTGTCTCACTGAAAGGATGATGTTGGAATTTAATATTGGCTAATGAAATAACCCAGTGTTAAATCCAGAAGGAAACTGTGACAGCGGTTAAGGCCCCCTCATTCTATCTCATCTCCAGTGTCTGGTCTGTAAGTCTGCAGGGCTTCATATAGAAGTTCCTCATCAAATGCAGCTGGCCTAACAGTCTAAACTCTTTTAGCTGTCACAGGTTTCTTTAAAGACACTACAGGGGAAAGAATTCAACTCCTGATAATCAGAATAAGGTTGAATTTTCCCTACGAGTCCAGGTAGGGCGGGGCAACCCCTCCAGTATGGAAAGCTGAACAAGACCTTCCCTTTCATACAGGAAAAGTACCATAATGATAGCTGGAAATTTAAGACAGGCAAATCAACTACATCCTTCAAATGGGGGAGGTCCTGCCCCAACTCGGTAAGCAAGAATCATAATTTCAAAACCTGCTAGTAACTTACATCCAAACCCGGCAGCCAAGCACACTCAGAGTTTGTCTATCTTAATGAAGCACCAGCCAGGGTGTGAGATGTCACTCTAAAATCCCAAGTGTAAATGGAAAGCTGCTGCCGCTGCTGTGTGCCTCGGTGAACTTTTATCTTTCCTTGGGAAAACCTTAGCCCTCGAAACTTTTGATAAGAGCTGAGGCAAAAGGCGCTGGGAAGACACGCAATGAAAAACAAACAAACAAACAAACAAAAACCCTGAGTCCCAGTCAGACAGCCTCCATCAACGATTAACTTCGCCCCGCTGAATCCTTCAAAGCTCACGTCTCCAGGAGTATTTTCTAATCACATAGGCTTTAAATACCACACGTATGCCAATAAACCTGAACTTCAGATAACATGTGCAGTGAAGCCAAACCGATGTTCCAGGTTACGTTTCAACAGTCCCGAAGAAGTGGAAAAGTGAAACTGCGTGTGCCAAGAGGGGACAGGGGTTGGGATACACTAGGCAGGGTGTGTGTTGGGGGGTCGCATCCAAGACCCTTCCCAGAGCCGACAGCCCGGGAACCGCAAGAGCCAAGTGCACCCTGGTTTACCGTCTCGGGGACATCCAGACTATCTCGGGGGTCCCTCACCCGGGTCCCCGATCCGCTGCGCTGGGAAGAAACGGACTCTAGGCGTCCGACCTGGCCAGGGAACGAACGGACGCCACCCCAGCCCCGTTAAAGCCTGGGTCCGCGACAGCCCGCAGGGCGGGCGGCTGGCGTCGGTCAACGGCCGCCCGGAGGGCCCCGGCGGCGACCCCGCGTTTGCCACCCTCCCGGCGCTGCTCACCTTCGAGGCGCCGCCGTTGCGAGGCTGAGGCTCCACGAGCCGGACGCGGCCGGAGCCGGACGCGGTCGACCGTCGTCGCTGTCTAGACCGGGGCGGCGCGGGGCCCGGGGCGCCCCGGTCCTCGACGCTGTGGTTCGCCGCTCGGTTGTCGGAACTGTGGATGCTCGGGGAGCAGCCCATGCTGGCGGC